CAGCAGCCGCAGGAGTACTAGGCCGGCCGGCCGGCCGCCCACACACACAAAGGCCCTTTTCAGGGCCGCCCCCATTGCTCACCGGGAGAGCTGCGATCCTCGGGGATTGGGGGCTGGGGGGTGGCTCTGTCGTGCCTGGAGGCGGGGCCCGGCCCGGCCCGGCGGGGCTAGCGGCGGGGAACAGACCTCGTCAAGACACTTACGCTGGGGTGCTTGTAATCTCACAGCATTTATCGTCTGTTACATTCAGCAGACATTGCATAGACAATAAACAACGCTTAATTTCCCAAACAGGAGCCCGGTAAGGCACCGTTTCAGTGTTTCTACAAGGCACTGTAGTACGCAAGCCCCACCGAGAGGGTGGTGACTCAGTAGCGGGTGCGAAAGGAAAAGGCTAATGGTTACAGAGGAAGGCACAATAACCCAAATTTGGGCTTCCTCTTCAGCTCCCCGTTGACCAGTTAGCATAGATGAATGACTCCCTCATATTAACCCCTGTAGACAAGCGTACAAGGGAAAGCGGACTAGCTATCCACCAACTTCCTAATTTATGACCAGTTGATGGACAAATTTGCAAATTTCTTACCTTAACCAAGAGCAATGGTGAACGTGGCACCTGCGGTACCATGAGGAACCTCAGTCCTCCCCTTCAGCATTCCAATGACTGAACAGGCCAAAATAACATTAACGACTACCGAAAGTCCGGTCAGCACAGTACAGCGCTTTTAGTACTGTCACAGTTGAGTCTGATTATAATCTGTAACAAGTGCCTTGTTCCTAAACAGAACAGGAGAAGGCTTGCAGGTTTATTAGGGGGTTTTAAAAAAAATGGGTTTTTTTTAAACCTAGCTACAAAGATCATCAAAAATCTTCAGAGCCGCTTTGCCATGTAAAGAAACGTGGGGAGGGATGAAAACCCCGAATAGCGTAAATTACTCAAGTTAGTCAACTTCCTATTTCAAGTTTTGGTGCCCAAACATCAGATAAGATGGGCGTGAATGCTTAAGTCAGTCCCCTCCTCCGAAGAAGGATGACAGTCTAGCTGTGAAGACTTGGCTCGAGTTGTAGCAATCGTGCCGACCGCACCACAGGTTCAGCGGGCATCATTGAGCTGCCTCGCCACGCTAAGGATATGCTTGGCTCCCTTGCTCAGAAGTAAACTAGCTAGTTCAACACCAAGGTTCTCTGCAGCTTCCTGGGCCTGACCAGGGATGTTCTTGGCCGTGATGCCAACACGCTGCACATCATCATTCGGTCCATCTTCATTCTGCAAAGATAAACGCCTTGACGTAAGGCAGTGGGAAGGAGCGGGCGAGGAATAGCGTAAGCCACCTGTGAAACAGGGTAAAATCCGCGGTCCAAGGAGCCTCAAGAACAGCGTACTGTTACAGTCTCCAAGAAGCCAGATCAAAAGTAAGAGATTTCAAGAGGTCTGGTTTCATCATTCAGCTTCAGGTTTGGATTCTGAACCTGCCATGGTTCACGTACCTGTTGGGGATAATTAACACTGGTCTGCATAGTCTCCTTCAGGCTATCAGATCCATCCAAACTGTAGACTGCTCCTGTCAAATACAACTTGGAAAGGCATACAGAAGGCGTTAACACCATGTTAACAAGCAAACAGAAAGCCAAGTGCCCCCTTTTCAAAAAACACCCCATGCAACAGACAAAGCTAAGCCTGGAGGGGAAGGCTTTTGTAGTGCAGCGGGATCAGCAAGAATAGTGGTATGATAACAACTGTAAGGAAAGCAATCCCTGCTGGGGAAGGTGCAACTTCCCAAGGAAAAAGCTTAACTTTTTTTTCTAGCTTCCCACCTCCTTCATCACACTCCATTGTGTAAAAACACTGACTTTTCTGGGGTCAAAGCAAGACTTTTCAGATCTTGGG